GGATTTAAAAAAACAAACCTATTCCATTAGGGGGCACTTTAAGTTTTCCCAAATCTTTCTGTTAGTATGCACCTGAACCCCTCCTTTCCCAGACCTCCATATCCTGATTTTATGAGATTATTATTTCACTTGAAACATGGGCATGCTTGGCAAAACCACATTTCATTAAAAAAAATAAAAGGGTATTTTTAGAATTTAGGAGAATAGCTCAACCACTATACATGCGCACAATTTTTAAGCCAGATGGGGACTGACTTTATGTGTTATAATAACAATTATAAATTCATAATTTAAAAATTCCTGCAGAGTTAAAATTGGCAAAATTGCACAATTTAGGCAAAACAATGAGTGTGTAGACAGGGAGGAGGGTATGTTAAATACCGTGAGTTTCAACATGCAGGGGAGAAATTACAGAAAATACAGGTGTTTAATGCAAGGAAAAACTGGTGCATTCTGAAAACAGCAAGGCTTTGGGAAGCAGACATAGCTGTGTTCACAGGAGGCAACAGGGTAAAGTAATGATACCATGACGTGACAGAGAAGGTAAAGAAGTAGCAAGCCCAAGATCTTCTGCCATATTCATATTTGAGTAGTTCATGCACAACAGCCTGAGATAGAGTGATTATGAAAAATACTGCTTTTCTGCTTGCTCATAGCTCCAAGAGTTAATTTACAAGAAGATTCCTTTGGTTTCTGTCTTTTCCTCCTTTCTTATCTATACTGAGGTATCATTTCCATGTACACACAGCGATCCTCTTAAGAGCAGATCCGTAGGGTAGCAGCTTTGGGAAATACCAAGACTAGTAACAGGGTGTACCTGCCTTCTGTGATGTTCTATCCAGTACACACAAACAATCAACCACAATATGGAACAAAAACAAACAGTTGCATTCACTGATAGGAATAGACCATAAAACTCATCAACACTCACTTCTACTCGTAGGACTTCTGAGCATCATTTTACTGTTCCCCCTTTATGGGTTACCAGATCTTCAGAAAAGAAATACACAATTTTATGCTTATCAACTTAGTGACCATCTACCTAACCAACTTATATAGCTCTAGCACAAGAATTGTGTTATTTCCTAAAAATGTTGATATGCTCAAATTGCAAAGTTAATCAAGTCCTGACTTAGGCTCAAAGTGAGTAATTTCAGTTCATTAATTGGTGAAAATGAGGCATCAGAAACCATTCTTCAGTTAAATGGTTATTTTTGTAAATGAAATTAAGAAGTTAAATTTCTCAAAAATTGTTAGGGAAAATTATTTTACCAGGGAAAAATGAGAAGAAATATTCATTTCTCTATATACCATTGAAGGATTTATGTTTGAATCTGAAGGAAAGGTGCCCTTATATATTACATGGTCTTGGAAACATTGAAAACATGACAATTTAAGTTTAATATTTTAAATATCTGTCAAAAACTAATTATCTGACAAAAAAAATACTCTCCTTCCCATAGCTAAGCCTACTCCTTCAACTCATGAAAGCAAGCTGGACTTCATTCTGGTCTAACAACAACAGATGGCTTTTATATTAAGCACTCTGAATTACCTCGTAGCAAACAGTATCCTACCAAACACTCTTGTTATGCCCATCAACTGTAGGATTAAAAGACAACCAATACTTAACCTAGGCCAAAAAAAAAAAAAAAAAAGAGAGAGAGAGAGAGAGAGAGATAGAGGAGAGAGAGATTGAAT